GCTGGTCACTGCTGCAGCATTGCAGGCTATCAGTTTTGCTGCTACATTTCTGTCCTCAGTTTTGATACAAATGTATGTCCTGATATAATTGCAATTTCATGTAAATGCCTGTTTATCACCGTTACCACCAAAAGGTACTGAATTATCAATTATAATGACTGCAGTCTTTCTTATGTAGAAAATGGTTTTGGTCTGCATCTAATGTGGGTAGGATGGAGTTCCAGGTGAACTACATCTGCGTGGAGTTAAAGACAAGAGTGCAGCCAACAAACAGGAAGGCCCATGGCAGATTTCACCATTGAAAATCAAGGATATGAGGATTTCCAGCTAGACTCGGGATGGAGTCCTGGGCAGGAGACTTACAAATACAATTTACCAATGCTAAGAGCTTCATTGAAAAGAGGAACCAAACCAGTTTCTAAACAAGTGTTTGAACATTCACAGGTATGTACATTTTTAGGCTCTTCTGGGAGGAAAAGTAGTGTACCCTTGCTTTAGGAAATTTGACAAGATACTTATGTACAGTAGTGATTCCAGAGGACTGTACTTATCACCTTCACACAAGCCAATTCTCTCCATATTACTTGATATTTATATTTTGGTGATTAAAAGAAGACATTCCTCATCTGGCCATTCTCTTTGCTTTTAACACCAAAGACTATTGCAAATTACATGTTTCATAACACACATCAATATTTTCCAGAAACTTTGAAACAATTAAATTAATATTTCCCTACAAACTCTCTTTTGTTTCTAACTGAATATGGGTTCCATGTAAAAAGGCAGTGAAACTGCTTATCTGTATTATGGCAGCACCTTTGTGGCTTTGTTCAGGGGCTGGGGAAAGTTGCTGCAGCAACAGCTCAAGTTATGTAATGCTTCAGTGAAGGATGAGTAAGCTGGTTTGCAGGGGGCTGCAAGCCCAAGATTTCCTTTTCTGTCAGTTTCTGTCTGTGCATGTGAAGTGAAATCCATTTTACAATAGGTTTTTAAATCCTCTATGGAGAGTAATTTAGATTTTATGTGCTAAATAGTAATAATAACAATATGGAGAGAGAATAATTCTGGGTACTTCTTAATATCACATTTTACTTGGCATGTTTGAATAGGCATTAAAAACTGGATTTTATTTATTTTACAGACTCAAAAATGTTGCTGATGCATTGCAAAGTGTAGCAAGACTTACCTGTGTTCATGTAACCTAAACAGCACGAATTACTGCACTAAGCAGTAAATCATAAACAAACATCTCAGTTTACCAAACATTTTGTTAAAACTTCAGAGTTTACCTGTTCTGGCCTCCCACTTCTCTTTGCAGTAACTCTAAAGGCTAGTTCTGACAACAGAGGTTTAGGAGCATTTTGGAATTGTGCATTCAGGACTGAGCAGAGTGGAATGAAAGCATCCATAAAGGAACTCAACATTTCATGCAGGTACAAGTGATGGGGAAGCAAAGTGTGACTCAGGAGACTTGGCTTTTAATCCTGCCTGTCCTGGCTATTAAACCTGGCTACATTTTCAGGAAAGAATCTTAAAAGAGATTTATGCAATATGAAACATTGATATGCTTTCCCAAGTATTCAGCGATGCTGGATTTGAATGATCCTTTTTATGTATTGTCAGTTTCCTAACAAGGTCTCATCTATTTCTGCATTGAGAATCTGGCTCCTTTTCTGACTGAAATTTAAACAACTAAATTTTCTTTCTCTGCACATAAAGAGTCTGACTGTCAGGCAGAATATCAGTTTTTGATTGTTAAATGCCATTTTTATTTCCTGTATTTCCTAGAAGAGTGAGGGCTGTAGACACACTATCTTGCTGTAAATGATCTTTGCTTGACAGTGATATGGCTATTTTCTTTACATCTGCTCCTGTTTTGGACTCTGAGGTTAGTGAAAAATCAGAGTGCAAAATCAATCACTGGTATTGGCTTTGCCAGGGGTTTTTTATAGCCCAAGTCTCTTTGGGGTGTGACAGTGCATTCTGATTGTGAAAATTATTTTGCAGTCCTTTGCTGATTGTGCTGCTTTCCTTTTTTTTTTATTTTTTCAGAAATGGCCTTCAGAACACTAGTGTCTTAATGTGTTGTTATCAATTTCAGTAGTGATAGTCACACACATTAACAGAACACACTGAGAACTAATTTTGCACTGAGCATCAGCCAACATGTAGGGTGCATTTACACTGCTATTTGTGAAGAGAGTAACCCAATTGTCTTCACTGACTTCATTTTTCTTCACATTTTGGAGTGGCATCCAGGCATATAAAGTGGATCATTTTCAGATGAAACTAAACCACATATTTTTCAGAAATGCATTCAATGCTCTTCAACCACTGACATGCATTCTGCTGACAGGACCAGACTGCAATCAGTCCAAAATAAATGGACTGGTAAAATGTTTGTGTAAAATGTAAAATGTTTGTGGTGTGGACACTAGGAGATGACTGTTTGTTAGCCTCTGATTCTGTCCCCACTGGTCAGCACTCCTTGCTAACACTGATACACCTTAGAGGTGAAGCCAGAGTATTTGCAACTTTAAAGTTTCTCAGGACTGTTCCTTGAGAAATCAGTCCAGTGATTATTTCTGGAGCTGGATGCCTAGATTCTCATCTGTGTTGATTACCGTGTCAACCGTGATGTCTTTCATCTTGTCCAGCCCCACCCTGCTATTCACCTTTCTGCGTGCTATCATCATCACACCCTCTCTCTTCTGTCCTTCAGCTTTGTTTGAGTCGATTGACTCTAGTAACTGGGGGCAGTAACAACATCCAGGCTGAAAGATTCACACTGGGTATTCAGTCTCACAGAGGAAGTGGTGAAAGCCCTCCTGAGAATGGACCTTCATTCAGGATCAGTTGAGCCTTACAAAATTCAGTTGGGTGTTACCAAGGGTGCAGCTGATTAGATTATCAGGTCAGTAGACAATCACCTCTTATTTCAAAGAGAAATCAGCTTCTCCAGACAGTGAAAGGCTGACTCTGAAATACATTCACCACGTCTTCTACCACTACTGGATGCTGAGTTTGCAGACAACTATTGTAATGATTCTTTACAACCATTATAATAACCACTATTCCCCATGTCTCATCTTCCAGTTTCCTAAAAAGAGCAGGAAGTAATTGTGATTCTGCTTTTCTTGGGGTTTTGGGGGGATTTTGTTGGTTGGTTTTTGTTCCACCATGGTATGCAATGACTTAGCTGATTGAAAAAGAGCATTTGAAGTCATGTTCTCTTGCTAGGTACATCGAGGTGTCATCCTCCTGCTGGGCAAAGCCACACAAACAATCCTTTCCCTCAAATTAAACAAACATAAAGCTCCAAACGATACCTAAATACTGTAGCCTCATCTAATTATTTATGAATAGAATAGGTCTGTGTGAAAATAGGCACCATTGCAGCAGACCTACCTTCCTGCAAAAATATTGCTGCTTGCCTGGTCAAAGACTAAAGTAAAAGCTCAGACTCTCCAAGGGAATCACAGTACTTCTACAACTGTATGCTAGGGATTTCTCTATTACAGATATTCTAGTCCTGACTAGGGAGAAAATCCCATGAAAATCTTCCTGGACAAGTGACAGATTTGCTCCAGTATGGAGCAAAATGCGGGATATGAACTTTCTGAAACCCAATGGATTTGTGTCAGTCTGTGGGTTTGGCTGGTGTGAGAAGGATGGGAGGACACTTGGACACCACATTCTGCTGTCAGCCCAGGCAGGGAGCCCTTTCTGATGCAGGCAGTGCTTTGTTCTTGCTTCACTGCAGAAATACAGTGTTGTAAATCACAAGCACATCATTTGCATGTGTGCACACATGTGTATGCAAACAGCTGTAGAGAAATGTATTGTAAAAGGCACATTATCCATGTGTGGATGTGGATGAAAAACTCAACATACGCTGGCAATGTGTGCTTGCAGGCGAGAAAGCCAGTCAAATCCTGGACTACATCAAAGGCAGAGCGGCCTGCAGGTCGAGGGAGGTGATTTTCACACTCTGCTCTGCTCTTGTGAGACCACACCTGCCGAAGTGCATGCAGTTCTGGTGTCCCCAGCATAAGGAGCTGTAACCGTTGGAGCAAGCCCAGAGGAGAACCACAAGTTTAAGAGGGTTGGAGCACCTCCCATAGGGAGACAGGATGAGAGAGTTGGGGCCGTTCAGCCTGGAGAAGAGAAGGTTGTGTGGAGAGCTCTTTGCAGCCTTCCAGTTTCTGAAGGGGACTACATGGAAGCCAGAGAGGGACTGTCAGGAATTGTAGCCATGGGACAAGAAATTATGGGTTCAAACTGAAACAGGGGAAGTTTAGGTTCGATATTACAAGAAATCTTTTATTGTGAGAGTGGTGAGGAGCTGGAACAGATTCACGGAGGTTCACGGAGGTTGTGGATGCCCCAGCCCTGGAGATATTCAAAGCCAGACTGGATAAGCCCTTGAGAAATTTGGCCTAGTGGGAAGTGTCCCTGTCCAGGGGAGTGCAGTCTGTGACTAGATGACCTTTAAGGCCCCTTCCAGCCCCTTCACACGGATTCCCCGGTCGGATGTATGGGCGCACGCCGCTCCCCGCGGGCCGTTCCCCGGCACAGGCGGCGCGGCCCGGCCGGGCGCTGTCCCTTTAAGGCCGCCTCCGCGCCCTACCACGTGCTGGGGCTGGGCGGGGGCGCCGCGCAGCCAATGGGGACGGCCCGAGGGGCGCGGCGCCACCGCAGCCCCGGCCCCGTCTCCGTCTGCCGGCGGCGCGGGGAGCGCTGCCTCGCTCTGCCCTGCCCGGTGCCCGGTGCGCGGCCGGTGCCAGCGCCGCCGCCGGGAGCGCCCGGCCCCTCGCTCAGGTGACGGCTGGCCGCCGGCAGCGGCGCGGCTGAGCGGCCCGGCGCTCCTTTCGCCTCCTCTCGCCTCTCCTCGCCTCCGCGGAATGCTGGGCGGCTCCGCAGCGGCTCCGGGGATGCTGCCGCGGCCGCCGCCGCTCGCCGCTCGCTGAGCCGCTGCGAGGGGCGCGGCGGGGCCGCCGCCGGGCGGGAGGGCGGCATGGCTCCCACCCTGCTCCAGAAGCTCTTCAACAAAAGGGGCGGCGGCGCGGCGGCCCCCCACGGCCGGGCTCCGGGGGAGGGGCCCGCCTTCAGGTAAGCCGGGGCGGGCAGCAGCGGGCGGGCCCCGGGGGCTGCCCCGGCGAGGCGGCAGGGAGGCCGGCGTGGGGCGCAGGTGTGCCGCAGCCCCGCGGGGTCCCTCGCCGCAGAGTTTCCAGGGGAACGGCCGGGGAAAGGGGGTGCGGCGGGAGGCACGGCCGCGCCGGGGTGGCTCCTCTCCCGCCGTTCCCTCCCGTTGGATCTCTCAGCCATTTTCTGCTCGAGTTGGCGGTGGCACGCCCGGGAGCCTGGGGCGCTCGTCCCCGGTAGGGGTGGGGGAGAGGCACCGGGCCCCCTGTCTGGCGTTTGTGCGCGGTTGATGGGATAGCTCGTGCCCGGGTCTCATCAGCACAGGAAAATTAAGAAACGGCTTAATTGTTGTGACCTAAATACACGTGCGCAGTCTGGTGACCCGCTAAGCATTGGGCACCTTCCACTGCCCCCTTCTTTTGATACCGTGCGTGCTGAAACGTGAGGCTCAGTAGCTATGGATGCTTCGGGGTTTATGTGTATAACCTCTATATAATATCGATTCTCTGTGTAATATTGAACTTTTAATGTTTTCTGAACCTTCGGGGGCAGCATTTTGCTCAGGCTGGTGCTTTGGAGCTTTGTTCGTGTGACATCTGCGCTGCTCACAAGACCGAGCGGCCCGGTGAGCGCAGTGACAATCACATGCGTGCCCCGTAACCTCTGTGCCTGTTTTGCTGGGCGGCATGAGTTGGCCGGTCTTGTGATCAGATGGTGCACGGGGCTCAACTGGAATCTGGGCTTTAAACGCTGAAACTACTGAGGATGGTCAGGGAGAGCAGTGGGCAATATTTTGATCCACAAAATGCCGTCGTGCTAAGTATGAAAGACCACAGTTGTGGAACCATTGTAATTCCAAAGATGGTCTGTGCGGGATATTGCCATTTGTGTGGCTAAAGTTACAAGATCATGGAGAACAATAGTGTAAGATGAAAATGACAATATATTTGGGTTACAAGGTGTTTCCTCTGAAAATGATTGGACACAGTCTTGGAGCTGCATTCATATTAGAGAACAAATCTGGTGAATTTTGTGAAGCTGCAGAGTCGATATGTTGCACTTGCAACTGCAGATTATTTTTCTCTAACTGCTACTTCTTTTAACACTTATCCACCTTATGAGTTAAATATGTCCTTTAATGTGGAAAAAAACAGTTTTCCACATCGAAACTGACAGTTCCAAACTAACTCTATTATTTTGCATATTCTGTGTCAGAGACCAGTGTTGTGAGTTCTGGATTATTGGATTGTTATTGGATTATCAAGTGTCTCCATGAAGGCAGATTCCTTGCACAGTGTGTTTCCCCCTAAAATCAGTAAGATTATTCTGCCTGGAGTATTTAGTGAAGTTAGGGATTGTACTTTCTCCTTCTTTCTGTTTTTTGGGTAGGATATTCCACACTTGGTTTTCAGTTTAAGTAACATTTAAGTTATGTGATGCTTTGCATAAAAGCTATTATAACGAAAATACTTCTGTAGGTACCCTTCATCTTTTTATCCCCTGTTTTTCCTCATTCCCTTTCTATCTGGCTTTTTTTGACGCACCTAAGGTTAATAAAATTTTTGAAGTATTTTACATGTGAATGGAGGGGTTTTTTGCTTGTTAATGTTAAGCTTCTTCCTTACAACTTTTAAGTATGCTGTAATGCTTTTTCTTTCTTTCCAGTGATCTGTTCATGATCTGCAAGAGCATGCTTACATGGGCTGAGAAGCTTTGCTGCAATGCTTTTAATAGACTTTCTGTTCAACAGTAATCTCTGTTGGAGTGGAGAGATGTGATTTCATCTAAGTAAAGTAGGAAACATAATCCTTTGGTAGCTCTGTATTAAGCACATACTGCTGGTCAATGTTGGATGCAAAGTGGCAGAATCATTTTCTAATGACAAGGCTGCCTTTTTAGGGATCTTTAGTTGGTTTAATTCCTTCCAGGTTTTGGTTAGTGAGGTCCCTCCATGCTCAATATGTCTGACAGTGTGAAGCTCAGTTAAGGGGTCCTGTGAGACCAATAACAATCTGTATCCTTGGACTTTCAATTGTTATGAATGCCTTGAAAGCTTTAAGTGTATTCACACACCCTCCTTATCCTGAAAAAGAGAGGAATCACGAAAAATCTCTTTTGTAGATAATGCCTCCTCAAATTAATGTGATTTGACAACTTTTTCCAACTATGTTGTTGGAAAAAGTTGTTTTCTAGTCTTCCCAGGAACACCAGAAAAAGTTCTGTTGCAGAGGGCTATCAACCAGGCTTGCATTTTGCCTGTAACAAGCACTGCATGTGCTCATGGTGTTGCACTCTCTCCTTTAATGGGAGCTACATCTTGGCCAGAGGTCTACGCTCCTTCTGCTCTGAAGGAAGTATCAAGCTTCAAGGTCTGTGCTGCTTACCAAGATGAGCTGGCAAGCCTCAAAGAGCAAGAGACATGGTGCCTACGGATGAATGTGGAGCCACAGGAAATTATTTCTTGGGTGCATGAATATGAACATATTAATTTGGCTCAGGAGTTCTCTTGTAAAGAAAACCTCTAAATTGTCCCACTAACTGCACTTTGGCTCACAAAGCCAAGTGGCTTTGGTGCATAAACTGGATTCCTGTTGGAATGAATGAAATTAGAATGTGTGTTCCAACCACTAATGGGCATTCAATCCCCGGGACCATACTACAGCTGGTCAAAAGTACAACTCCAGAGCACATGTACTGTGGGTGTCAGGTCCTTAGCAGCAATTAATGCACTCTGTGGAGCTAGTCTGAGCTCCATGACATGCTCACATGAGCACAACCTTTACCTGCAGGGTGAGGAGAGTGTAAACATAAGGTGCAGATGCTAATATAGAGCTATTGGGATAGCAGGACTTTCTACTGGCCCAGGCCTCCCTTCAAGATAATGGAAGTATGAAGTGCTAGAAGGGTAGTAGTTAGAATTATAGAATAGCTTAATTCCTTTTTTACAAAAATTATAAACCAGCTGGAATAGACGTGTATTAGTGAGATATTACATTTGTTCTAAGCAGTTTTGTGTACAAACTCGAGCTTCTCCTTTTTTACAGCTGCTTCTTGCTTCCCTTAACTAAAAGTATATATATCTATGTGTGTAATACATATGTAAAGATGGATGTGTGTGTATACACACATCCCCTTCAACAGAGGCACTTGAGTGACTGTAATTGAATATATTTCTTCTTAGCCTCTGAGGCTCTGGGAAAACCCTAATTACTTTGTGTGTAAGCAGTGTGTATTTATGTGGCTAAATTCCCCTAAAACTTCTTATTTCCTTATCAAATGTTGCTTCCCATATGAAATTGGTTTAGCATAGTTTGTACAATATTTTGGAGTGCTACCAGAGTCATGTATTCAGCAGAATCATAGATCAGCTTGTGTTGGAAGAGACCTTAGAGATCCTCTAGTTCCATCCACTGCTGCCTTAGACAGGGATACCTTCCACTAGACCACACTGATCAGAGCCCCATCCAACCTGGCCTTCAACATTTACAGGGATGGGGCATCCACTACTTTTCTGGGCAGACTCTTCCAGTGTTTTACCACCCTCACAGTAAAGAATTTTTCCTAATATCTCATCTACACCTATTCTCCTCGTTTGAAGCCATTGCATGTGTTTTTAAATTTCTCTCTCCATAATTTTGTAGGCTCCCTTCAGGTAATGGAAAGCAGCAATGAAGTTGTCCTAAAGGCTTCTCTTTTCCAGTTTGAACAGCCTCAGTTCTCTCAGTCTTTCATCACAGGAGAGATGCTCCATCCCTCTAATCATGTGTCTCTCCTCTGGACTTGCTCCAACAGGTCAATGTCCTTCCTCTGGTGGGGACCCCCAGAGCTGGATGCAGCACTGCAGGTGGGGTCTCACAAGGGCAGGGCAGAAGGGCAGAACAGTCTCCCTGGTCCTGCTGGCCACGCTGCTTTTAATGTAGCCCAGGACATGTTTGGCTTCCTGGATTGCAAGTGCACATGGCTGGGTCATGTCCAGCCTCTCACCCACCAGCACCCCCAAGTCCTTCTGGGCAGGGCTGCTCTGAATCTGTCCATCCCCAGCCTGTGCTGATACCAGGGTTTGTTCTGACCCAGGTGCAGCACCTCACATTTGGTCTTGTTAAACCTCATGAGATTGCCATGGGCCTACTTCTTGAGCTTGTCTAGGTCCCTTGGGCTGGCATCCCATCCTTCAAGTGTGCAGGCAAGCACAGCTTGGTGTCATCTGCAGATTTGCTGAGGGTGCACACAATTTCATTACTGATATTCCCCAAGGGATGCCGTTTGTCACTGATGTCCATCAGGACTCTGAGCCGTTGACCAGTGCCCTCCAACCAGTTCCTTGCCCACTGAACAACCCATGAAGTTTTAGGGATTGCATAGAGTATAAGCACATAGTATCTCCAGGGTAGAGTGTCTCAAGAGCTAAGCACATATTTGAGTAAGGTATTGGGGGATGGCCTTAAGGAAATTGATATGGGTTGCAGATAGTTTGATTTTACTTAAACTGATGGCAGTTTTTCTGTCATTGTGTTTACCTGATTCTAGAAGAAATTTCACATCTCTGCTTTTCTGGACTTTTCAACATAAAGTCTGAGGTTTTCCTTAAGCTGTGGATACAGACTTCACCTTAATTTCAGTCTTTTATAGTTTTGTTTGGTTTTGAGTTTTTTAAATGAAAATAAATGTATTGGAGTTTTTGGAAGACTGCTTTCCCTGCTGAATATATAATTTATGCATTGCAACCTGTGATTAAATTTCTGTGATATTGGTATGTGTAGTGAAGGACTGTTGTAAAGTAGGGAATAACTTCATTTCAAGTGGTTTTTTTTTTTTTTTTTTTAAAGGTTGTGTTATTTCAGCTGTGTCTGAAACTTGCATGCAGTCTATTTCTTCAGCTTTAAGTATCAACTGCTCCTTCTGGTGTATATAATGGAGCGGATGTCATGTTGTAGCTGCAGGATATCTATCTGGTAACAGTTTGTTAG